AATTAATAAACCCACTCGAATTTGATTAATGATTCATGAAAATAGGGCAGGTTATCGTTGATGGGCAAAAACACTGAGATTGGCATATTCATATTGATAGACTAGCAGCCGTAAATGGCTAGATCAATTTGGTTATTTAAGCTAAAAAAAAAAAATAGATACATATACATATGCTTGTCTGGGTCGCCTGTTACATAGATTTGCATTACACAATATGCCTTGTACTTGCACGTTTTTAATGGGCATAGGGCATAAGCAGTCGCTGCCAATTTGAGGGCTGGTCAATATATTGGACTACTACTCTAAGGATGTTCACACAAGCATTTGTGTGTGTGTTTGTGTGTGCGTGTGCTCCCATGTGTGTGTGTTTGGAGCTAAGCCCTGCGGCTCACTTATCAGCGTGCATTAAAACAAAGTGGGTATCGATGTAGAGTCCGGGTCGGCAACAAAAAACCTCCACCACCCTCTCGTTGGGCTGTTGACTCAATTTGCACAAAAGGCAAGAAGGAAAACGAATTTTCCATGCGCCGAATTAGCATTGCCCTGCATTGCAATCATAATATTACATTTTATTTAAAGAACAGTTGATATTAAATATGAGAAATAATTATTAGCCACTTTAAAAAAAGAATATATTCAAGCAAGTCATGAAAATTAAATCGCAAAAGTACCTATTATCGAGAATACTAGATACTGGGCAATCATTGAAATGGGATTCGAACCATTGCGCATTTCAAATTTAAGTTAAGAACTTCCCTTTGTTAGAGCATGTTTAAAACAAATAAAAAGGGTCGGGTCTTCTTTTCGGATCAAACGGACAGAAGCAGCTTTCACTTATCAAAGTGGTCGGGGTCCAAATTATTTACGCCTTAAGCTCCAAAGCCGATTTGTCCACCCACTGGCCCCGATTATGCGCCACGGTTCTCATGCCTATTCCCTTGCCCATCTCAAGCTGCAGTCACTCACATATGATGTCGAGCTCTGTTGTCCGTAGGCTTGAAGTATGCAACGCATTTGAGTTCTGGAAAATGTGACACACCGGTCGCAGGTCGCGTCCACGGCAGTCCCCTGGGGCGTGCCCCTGTTGACGGAAGTGTCGGTGCCACTTAAGGCAATGCTGGCGCCGGAATTCGTGCGAACGGAGGCTGCTCTGAACTCTTCTCTCTTCTCCTTATTGGTGAGCTGCAGTGTCAGCTTGCAGCAGATAAACAATAAACAGGGAGAGGGACGACAAGTGCAAGGGCAAAGGGACAAGTGTCAAAAGTGTTTACGCAACAAGAGCCGACCATATCCATGTCGTTAGTCTCACTTATTAATTGTATTCCGATAATAATTTCATGCTCGTTAACGATTCCCCGGCATGGTCCGGAACCGTATTAGTTACAGGACCCGCTCCCAGTCGTTAAACAGTCGCTAATTAGACGCACATGTGTAACACAAAACCGCATTTAAGCGTTACTCCAGAGCAGCCCCGGTCAAAAGGACCCAGCTCTGGGCCCGGGTCACGGCCAGGCGGGCACGTACGTGCGCGCGCTCAGTGTATTTGACCCGCCACCGACGCGACATTCGACGAGTTCCGGCGAAGCACTAAAACTGTCCCAATTGTAACGAAATTATACACTTGAACTTCTTAACTTTGCCCCAGGGTTGCGCACACAATAACTCTGTGTGTGTGTGTGAGTGGTTTGTGGTGTTTGCTGCTTGGTGTGCGTGTGTGTGGTGTTTGGTGTCTTTGCTGTCTGCAGGTTAAGCACTTTCCACGACTTTTTATGCGGCTAAGCTGAGTTTTGGGGCGGTGGCAGGAGCAGGAGCATGGGTCAAAAGTGTAAACATTTTAAAACGTTATACAAATATTTTCGTAAATATTTGCTGCAGCTGCAATCAGCTTATGCATATCTAAGAATTTAGCGAAATCTAAAATATTGCAATTCCGTATATGTAAACAATTTCATTTGTTTGTATAAGTTACTTAATTGGCATATTGAAAAAATTTATATCTTTATATAATATTAGTATGATTCAGTTGCATTAGCAGAAAATGTAATATATTTAAAATAATTATTCGCTGGCAATTAAATACAATTAGCTGGATTTGACACCATAGGGATTTTATTCATAAATTATTTAGTTCGATTTAAGTATTTTTTCTGTTTCCCAAGGCAATACGTAAGAGTGATTCGCCGAGCATCTATGAATGTCTCTTAAAATGATTTTTGTTTATTTTTAATTATTGGGGGAGGTATGAAAATAAGTGAAATATTTGCTATATGTCTACTACCAGAAAAAACATTCCAATTAAGGAGGCTCGAAATCATATAGTTGTAAAATAAATAAAATTTGTAGTAATAGCATGTCTCACAGTTTAAGACAGGAAATGTATTCTATTATTATAAGCATGTCTAATCTTAAAAAAAAAAAATTATTTAGCAAAAAATAATAAATAATAATAACAATAAACCAAAACAAAGCAACTATTTGCACAGGTTAATAGCTATTTGTGTGCATATTTTCAATCAAATCAAATTAAATCAATTCAAGCAAGTATTATTCCTAGACTTAATAAGCTTCTTAAGATCTTAAAGATGTTTTAAAGCATGTCAAAAATATTGCTTACACACATTTTTGCTCTGCAAAATTGCCCCAACAGCTGGCTCCAAAGTCGTGGCTGGCCAGCGCCAAATCGAGCAATCGCAATTGCAAAGCCAACCCCCAACTTGCGCCACTCCTAAAACAGAATCCTGCTATGTTGGCTCGTCTCATATTTTTATAAAAATAAATTTCAATACTGACTGAATGACCCACGAGGACATTGACGTTGGCAATGATATGGCTGTTGACTTTGTTGTTGCTCTCGTTGTTGTTGTTGCCGATTCAACTCGATGCGTCGCGTCTCGCCTCGTCTCGCCTTGTCTGTGACCGCTTGGTCATCGCAACATTTGCATGCCTCATTTGAGAACAAGTTCCTCTTTATTTATTTATTTTATTGCGGCCTCATTCGCGTTATGAACTCAATGGTCTGTGGACATTATTTTAATAATTGCACTCTACAACAATATCAACACAGCAGCAAACAAGAGCAATAATAACAAACCCACCCGCGCAACGCCGCCCAATACGTATGTCCTTCCCACCACCCAATACCATCTTGTTTATTGTTGTTTGCTGTTGCTGTTGGGCTTTTTATTACTCGCATTCCATTGATTTTCATGGTCTTTTGTTATAAACTTTTGTATTGTTACTTTTTATATACTTTCCTTCTCTGCGCCCAATAAACGAAGAAATTATCGCCAGACAGAGAGAGCGAGTGAGTGAGTGAGAGAGAGAGAGAGAGAGAGTGTTACGCTTGGCAAATTATTTATAAGTGCCCACAACTCTCAGTTGGCAATTATCCATATTTACCATTTGGCATAGGGTATTCCCATACCAAACCTCTCATCTAGCTTCGGCATCGACATCGTGGGCGTGGGTGATAGTCGACCGGAAGACATGTTGTCTAGAGCGTTTCGGCAAGGCTGTAGGATAATCCAGGGCTAAGCTTACACAAATGTTGTGGCCTAATTTATCTTGAGTGGATCAATTCATCAAAAAAAAAAAAAAAAAAAAACAAACAGCAGCATGGCCAGATAGATCGATTCGTTGATCGATTGAGCCAGTGGCTCAGTTTAGAGAGGATCAGATGACGTGCCAGATTTCAGGTTTTTGTTGCCATTGTGACCGGGTGTGCTTTTGTTTGCCCACTGGCCATTGGATATGCTTCCTTTTTAAAGGGGATTAAGACAAGTGCTGAGCCGAGCCCAGAGCTGGTTGCACAATGCCCAGTGCCAGTTGCAAGTGCATATGGCAAAACAAAGGACATGCACGATCGACCTGCGATAAAGGGCTATGATCTTGAGCTCTGGTCCGTTTACCCCGACAGCTAGTCTAGCGCGCATCCTCGCTCACATCCGCATACTGCCTGAATGCCTCATATTAAGCCTAAGTGTGGATTAGCCAAATGCTAATAGGTTTGCTAATGTGAAAGCACCGGCCACACATGCGGGACCAGTTCAGGCCAGGCCAGGCCAGGCTTAGGCTCACGGACAATGGCCATGACCAGTGGCCCAGTGGCTTTTATTGTGTGCCGCCCTTTCTTCAATTGGAACTCCATTGTTCAATAAATTACCAAACAATGCTGGGCATAGCGCCGGCGCTGCCACCGCACCCTCCATTCAGGCTGTGGCTCAGATTTAGGCCCAGTTTAAGGATCGGTTTCAGGTCCTCGGAATGCTTGCTCGCTATGCTAGTAATATTTAAAACAAAAAATAATAATAATGAAAATGTTAATAATATTATTAATGTTAATAAAATAAATAATAAAACCATTAATAAATAAAAAAAAAACAAAAGAATAATAAGAATATTCAGTAAGTGTTCTTTGCAAGATGCTTATATGGAGGTAACTAAGAGAACCCCATTACAAACTCATTGCGAAACCTTTATGTTATCCAGGCTGAGTTATGGCTCAGTTAGCAGAGCAGGACATAGAAATGTCAACTTTTTTGCCCGGATGCTGCGACATCATTGCGTGTCTCCTTTTTTCAGTGTTTCTAAAGTGGCGTTTGCGTTTTTAAGCCAAATCCAAAAGTATTTTTGTTGGTATATGTTGTTTTTTGGTTTGCTTTTTCATTTTTAGTGCTGCCTGCCGATGCCTGATGCCCGCACGGTACACGGTTCGTGGACCGGAATCTAGACAGGGCAGCACTAGGTTTCTAATCAGTGCAGCTTCCGCTTGCCGGGCCGTCATTCAACACAGCGCGATATTTGTCAACAAGCGGAACTATAAATATGCATGCAGCTTTTATTTTTTGAAAAGAAAAATACAGCGATAGGTTGGCAGGTCTGACAGGGCTGGGGAGGACTGGGCTGGGCTGGGATGCCAGCCCTGGCGAGCAGGGGCAGCAAACGAGCAGGCTTTGAAATTGCACTCAGGCGATTTGTCAGAGAGTGAGCTCAGGGTAAACTCGTCTGTCGAGCATTTCATTTCATTCCTACTTTTTTTCTGGCACTACATCAATTTTTCGGACTAAGGGAAAATAACAAAAATCAACTTAGAAAAAACAGTAGTAAATTGTGCACTGCAATAGAAAAGTGAATTAAACACATTGAACTAACTAGGCAGATACATCGACTGCACCAAATTTTGAAGTGGCAGCCCCCTGGAGTTGAAGTCCATAATAATATTTTGATACCAATACTGAAGATGTTGCGTCAACTTCAATTGAGAGCCCCCATTAAGGGCCTGCAGCTGAAACGCTCCTTGACTTACAGTGAGTAGATTCGATGGTATATAAAGTACATCGAGAACATGTTGGACAATGGGCTTACCTATCTATCCGTGCTGCTTTTATATTCAAATTTCATTTATATAACTTAACATACACACAGGCACACACACACGTATTATATAATATCAAATGATAGATACATATGTTAATGCATTCTCTTTAGATCCAAAGCAATTGCAGCCATTTGCTTTGGGCGAGGCTGTCAAAAAGGAGCCACAGATCAAGATGCAATCAAAGCCAGGACACTATGTAGCCCAGCTAATCGTCAAGATCGCCCCGATTAAGGCACAGAACAGTAATAATTTGCCATTGGGCTACTCCAACTTGTGCAAGGAGCTGCCGATTTATGAGAACCTACACCCTATTAGACAATACAGCGTTTGTCTAAATCCGCTGGACCAGTTGCAGACGGACCAGGGCAAACTGAGCCGAAGCAATAATTTGACAATGGGCTATTCAGATATGGGCGTGGATCAGGCAAACAGCGTGGCCCTTGTGCCGCTAGAGCATTCATCAGTTGAACAGAATTTAAAAAACGTTGTCACCCCGAAGCCGCAACCACAGCCAAAGGTGCCGGAACAGCCGCTGCGCAAGATACCATATTATAATCCACTCAGGCGCCGCAGCAACGTTGATCCGGCACGTGTCCAGTATATCAAGGATAGGTTTAAGGAACGCAGCATGGAGACCGATACTAACAAGCCGCAGGGTAAAAAGTTCGTCTCGCGCACCACGCTGCACTCTGGGCGTTTGGACAAGATTGATTAGATCGATCTCCATGAACTTTTCCCGATTTTTTTTCGATTTTACTATGCACAACTAGTCGAGTGTAAATCAGCATTCGCTTTATCGTTTTCAGCAAATTGACTTTAAATATATATTTTGTTGCCTATTGGCCTTTTCAAATCAGCACAAATGACACGATCATTTGCATTCTTTTTATATATATCCAACGCCCCAACTTGTGTGTCCAGACATCCTTGCATCCTTACAGCCAAGACTCGGGCACGACCAGTCGCGTCACCAGGGCCACAGTAAAGGGTCTTGAAAAAATGAAAATCGTACGAATAATAACAGCTTCATCCAGAAGCTAGAGTCCGGCGTCGGAAGTGGGGGTATGGGCAAACACAAGCCGCCATTCAGCGGATGCGAGTGCTGCAGCTGCAACTGGACGTGCACTCTGCACCTCCTTCGGGCGCGAATATATAACGCACATTGAAGATGCAGACCAAGTGGAGCCAAGGTGCATTGGGCACCAGAGCACCGCTCAGCCAAAAACTGCGAACTCGTTGGTAAAATAAAACTGAGTGAATTCGGCTAGGATTGGATGCTAGGTATAGTTTAAGAAAACGGTTTGGTTGTGTTTCCATAGATGTGACAGGTGGACAGATTCTCAGATACAATTTATATTCGAACTGTAAGATGGCGCCAATATGTTAATTTAATATTCCTAGGTTATAAATATCCATAACGCAAGGTATACAAGGTATACATTTTAATAGTTTTTCTAAGTCTCCTCTTCTAACTCTTATTTTCAAGCGCACCCTAAAAAAGCTGACCTTTAGCTCATGGCAACACATTTGGTACTCGGTTTTGATGAATCCTAAGATTTCATGTCCATTCTAGTATGCTAACCAGAATAGTGGAAACACCTAAATTTCAAGTACTTGTTGAGTCTGTTTTTTGTATACTTGTATTGTTATTGGCTGTCCTAGTTAGGTGTGTTTTTTTAGTTTCTGCTCCCGTCATGGTCCTTGGTGCTGCCTTCCGCCGTATTCTCTTATCCACTGTCTGTTGTCGAGTCCATACAGCTGATTCAACTAAGTGTTCCGCTTTCAGCTCCGTTTGATGTGCACAAGTAGCTGCAGCTTTTGGCTGGTTGCTTCTGACTGAGCTCGTAAAATCGCCATCCAGATTCCAACTCGACTCCAGCGTCAGAATGGGATGGAAATGTGGATAAAAATAGTAGAGATAGCGAGTGCGGGTGCGGGTACGGGAATCGGTACGCATACAAATCACACTAAACCGAATACGTCAAGCAGGCAGTAGCTTAGCTGCAACAACAACAACTACAAGGAGACTGCTTTGGCTTTCCCTTGAGTGCGCCCAACAGCAGCCGGCTCAATATCACAAAAAGTACCCGCAAAAAATCACATGGCAGCGGGCACAAGGGCTGGCCAGGAACAGGGGACAGGGGCGTACAAGGAGCACGACCAGAGCAAGCAAAAAGCAGAAAAAAAAGAACAGAAAAAATAGAAGCAACAACTACAACAACAACAAAGAAGAACAAAATAAAAAACTGCTGAACAAAAACTGACTGACTACAAAACCAAGTCGGAACGGACGCGGTATCGACATCGGCACGCTTGGCGCTTGAGAGTTTGGCTTGGGTGGCCTAGAGGGGTTTGGGTGGATGGTTGGGATTGACTTTGACTCCAGCTATATATATCCTGTTTGTGCAGAGATTTAGCTTTGAGCTATGGATATCGCCGGCACTGCTTTGTGTGCTGCCGTCGAACCTCATCGATTCAGTCGTCGCCGAGCCGAGTGAGTACCAAGGCATGAGGCATTGAGGCATTGAGTTATTGAGGTATTGGCATTCGGTTTGGGACTGGCCTGGGCCCCGTTTCGAGTGTCGGTGTCGTGCAGCAAGTTTACATGCTGTCAGTGCAGCTTTTTGTTGCCGTTTTTTAATTACATCCTCAACGAGGGGGCATCAAGCATACGCCGTGTATGACGCGCCTTTGGCAATCGAGGAAAAAAACAAAGACAAAACGACAACAACAACAACAAAAAAAAAACAAAATAATCACAAGTAGCATACCATGACTACATGATACCCATTAGACAAGCAAATAGCACAAGGTATGCACCTCTCCAAGATTCAAGAATCTACTTCTGAATATGACATTTAAAACTATAATTATATATAGTTGTCAACATTTGTTGATTTAATAGGAAGTGCTTATACAAAAATGTTGGCAGAAATATCAGCTCCGAGAGCCCTCTTTTGGCACTGGGTAAGCGAAACCGTAGAAACGTGGTTTGGTTTGGCTTTGGCCTACCCTCAGATACCGCGTAATGTCTTTTGTGCGCATCTCCACCGTTGTCCTTGTCGACCTCGGCGCTGACGTGAAACGTGCCTGCCTCGAATGGCGCGTCGCTAGTTTATTGTGAAATTCCAATAAATGCAGTTCGAGGCGAAGCGTCTTGCTGTGGAGGCATTCAATGCAGAGGCAGGCAAAAGGTGAACCGCACGGAGACCACCCACACGCTCAGCCCCAGTAGCAAGTGCCTAGCTAAAAGTTCGCAGTGCAAAGCATATATCGAAAAATTGGCCACGAAACGTTGATGGTACAAGTTGCTACAATAAATATTCCAGAATACTGGCCAGCTCAACTTTGGCAGTTCTCTATTCACCAAATATCATATATTAAAAAACATCAACCAAATAAAATAAATGAACTTACTTATATATGCATTATAGGGTATTCAGCGAAAAATGTTGAGAAAAAAGCAATCCTTAGCTACGGTTATGATTTCCCTTTGAAGCAACATTTTGCCTAATACTAATAAACATTTTTCAATTTAATTTTTTTAAAATTGCAAAAACAAAATACTTATAAAGACATTCTTGCAGTCCTCGATAAGTTGCCAAATCTCAAAGTCTCATTCTGGGAACTAAATAGCGATGATCCGGGCCTGAATCTCAGGCCAGTGTGTGGATGTAGCATGGTCTTACCGATAGCGATGGTTGCCAGAGCTATTTAAAAAAATAAACAGGTTGTTCGATAGCAACTATGTCCTACACTGTATATATAAAAAAAGAGATAGTAATAATAATATAATATAACAATAACATACATGAATGTTATTTTTATGAAATTTTAAGTTGTTTCTAGTTAGCAGAATTACACAGTCTATCAAATTTTAATAGCTTCTACATTTGATATGCATGAACACGCCTTGAATACGTCAAAGAAAACTGCAGCGCATTCGGCAACTCCAACTGGCTGAAACTGGAGCATACAATGCATACAATGCGACAAACCCACTTGACCAGACCAAACAAATTGACGATTGGCACCCGGGCACTCAGCTCAATTGTGCAAGGGATTGCGACTGCGACTGCGACTGCGATGTATGCCATGGCGCAACCCAAGCCATTATCGTCATCGTCATCATCATAGACAAAAACGTGGGGGACTCTACCCCATGCTCAGGTGGGCAGGGCAGGTAACGGTAACGATGCGGCGCAGAGCAGTTGTTGCCGACGCTGGCAGGGCAGCGCTTGCATCCTCTGGTGCTGCTGCTGCTGCCGATGCTGCTGCCATTGGTACTTTGGGGATTTTGTGCAGATTTACATGCAAACAATCAAGATATGCCGGGCTTTCAAGTGGCGCTACGCTGGGACCAGAATCAGAGCCTGGACTCCCAGCCCGAACCCAAGCTCCAAGCTGGCACCCGCAGTACCTAAAGCTGACAGAGAACGCTGAACGTGAGAGGGTTGGCGGTCTGTGACCTGTACTACTGCCAATACGTCACTCGTGATACACAAGCACACGCACACACACATGATTGGGGCAGGTGCCGGTGCTGCCGTGCCGCCCCCAATTGCACGTTTGTTTGCTTTTCGCATCTTTTCACCTTTGATTTGGCCTCGCCTCTATTGAAGCTATTTAAATATATATGCATATGGTATATTCATGTGTGTGTGTGTGGGTATGTGTGTGTGCATTTGCGTAAGATTTTCTTCTTTGGCTTACTTTGTTACTTGCAATGTTTGTTAAACAAATATCTAAACATGTTTCGCACAGCCCTCCACAGCTAGCTAGGGATCTGCAGCCCGATTCCATGCCCAGACCCCCGTGTTTTCGTCAGTTGTGTGCTTGTTATTTAGTCTATATTATGGATTTAATTCAATTGCCACAGATGTATGTTGTGATGAATTTTCTTTGCCGCGGCAATCTGGGATTACTTTTAGCTCCCTCTGCTTGTCTCGCTGTGTTTTTTAGTTGGCCTTGTGAATGTTTAAGGCGCGTTAATTATTTAATGCCTGTCACCCAGTGGCTAACACTCGGTGTTAAATGCAAATTGGCATTTGCACTGGACAGCAGCAAGGACAATAACAAGGATATCAGCGACAACGCACAGCTTGAAACATGGCACAGTTAACCCATGTGACACGTACAATACGAGCAGCAGGATAACACCACGACATCAGGACGACATCTCTAGAACTGACTGTAAAAAAACACGTTACACCAACAACAACAGCAGCTGGCAGTCAGATAAACCGTGGCGCAAAGTATCCCTTTTGGCGAACAGCCCCCTACATGCCCAACCCCCCACAAACTATACCACAGACCACACACATATAATCATAGCTGCTTTTTATCTGCGCGTCAGGGTTGCATCTCATTGCGGCTAAGCGCATGAGCTCCAGAGGGATGGGGTTGTGGTTACTTTGCTTTTGGGGAGGGGTTATAGTGCGCATGTCAAGATCTCTTTAAGCTAGGGGAAGGTCCAAATCGCTATATGGCTAAAATTTAAATCTACTGATATTCTATATTTTCCCATTTTCCATTACTTAAAAAATTAGATTGCTAAGTATTTAAAAATCTTTTGCAACTTAAAAAAAAAATATCTCCTGATTGGAATGAGGCTGTGTTGCATATATTTTGTATAAGGTTTATTTAGCTTAGTTTCAGGATCGCAAAAGTGGCCCTGAAATCTAAGAAAATGTATTGAAGGTGTTTGCAGATAATTGGTACAAATATTTAAAATACTTTCTATGTTATTGCTTCTAACATATTTTCAATAATAAGTTTATGACAATTATATTTTTAGAAAACAACATATATTTTTGTTTTATTTCTTGAAATAAAACAAAATTCAATAATTATA